TGTGAGCTCCTGGGGGGCCCGGGGGTCTTTTTATTATTTGTATCTATGGCACTAACTGAGCTACCTCCAGTCACCCTGATGGATGTCTGGCCACTGGACCCAGATGGCTCTGGAGGAGAAAGTGAGGCTGGTGACCTTGCAGAGCACTCCCTCACTCAAATCAAAGTCAACTGCAAGTCACGTCATCATCTTCCTGATGTCATGGTCCTCTTTAAGAAGGAAGGATAAACACAACAGCACTTGGCACAGTGCCCGGTACATGTTCAGTCACTGCAGTCACGTCTGACTCTGTGACCTCATTTGGGGTTTTCTTGGCAAAGATTTTCTTGGTAAAGATGGAGCGGTTTGCCATTTCCTTCTCCAGCTCATTTTACAGATGAGAAAATTGAAACAAACAGGGTAAAGTGACTTGTCCGGGGTCAGAGGGCTAGCGTCTGAGTCTTCCTGACTCCAGGCTCGGCGCTCTGTGCACTGTGGCGTCACCTAGCTGCCCACCTGGCACACAGAGGGCACTTAATAAATGCTTGTTGACTAGGGAGACCCTCGGTTAGGAGGCCCGTTCAGACAGTCCAGGCCCAGCACTGATCGCCTCACTCCATTGCTACCAAAACCTCCGGTGGGTCCCGTTAGTCACAGGATCCAGTCCAAGTTCCCAAGCACGGCACCTGAGGCCTCCCATAATCCTCTTTTTTGAGCTTCGCATCCCTCAGTAAAGGCTACCCAAGCACCTCCCAGGTTTGCCCACTCTGCTCCCCTTACTCCTGGTCACTCCTATTCTCTACGGGCCTCAAGGTCCAGCATGAGCACCATCTCCAGGCAGTCCTCCTGGATCACTACCATTTCCTGACTTCGACCAGACAAATGCTCTAGGTTTTGAGGAGATTCCCAAATCATCCCCTCCACACCTGATTAAGGATTTGCACAGGAAGGCTCTTAAATGTTTGCACAATTGAATGGAAAAAGACGCAGGATAGAGCAGATTTCCTACAGAACACAAGCTCCCAGAGGGCAGGGGTCATTTTGTTTCTGTTTCCCAAGGGCCTGGTGCACAGTAGGTGCTTCAGAAGAGTCATTTTGGATTTCTGGCCTCAGACTACGAACAGCTGGGTTCAAGCCCAGGCTTCGCCACTGCCACCTGCCCTGGGCCTCAGTTTCTTCATCTGTATAACAGAAGAAGAAAATGGCCGCTCTCAGCAAAGGATTAAGATTCGGTTTGCTGACCTTCAAGACAGCTCCTCTTTTCTCCAGAAAAGGCCAGAAACATTATTTCTCACTCTCTCAGACCCACTCTGTTGCCCTGCCACACTGTCAGTCCTTGGAAGGCCTAGTGTCTTCCTTCTGCCCCTGCCAAGAATCCCCCAGCACCCCCACCCCACCTCTTAGCTGAGGCTACTGAGGAGTTCGGTGCCTGGCATTCTCTGGGTGGGGTTGGACAGGTCCTCTGGCATGGGAAGGGGGAGTACTGCAGACCCCAGGGCCCAAAGGAGACTCCCTGAGGGACGCCAGCTCCTCTGGCTTGTCACTCTCTGTCCCAAGGAAGATGTGCTTTCCCTCATTTCGCAGACATTTGCAACCAGCCTTCCCTCCCCAGTAGGCCCTGCTGCCCCCCCTCCCCCTCCTCCCCGGGAATCTGACATGACTCCTCTGTCCCTTCAAGTGCAGTCCCCACCCCACAACCCTTAGGGACTCCAGGCAGGCACCTGGGGCGGGGGGAAGACTGAAGAGTGAGTGTGTCTGTGGCTTACCTCCCAGCTGCCTCCTGGATCCAGATGCCCACCCCATCCCCCATTTATGAAACGACTGCAGGTGAGTAGGAAACTGAAGACACCCCAAAAACTCAAGGACCCAAGGTGCTCATACTCCTGTTTATTAATACTTTGTGCCAATAAAATCCAAATGGCAGGGGCACCTCCCCCTTCCTCTGGTTCTGACAATTGCACTCCCAAGGAGACACACACACCGGAGGGGTGGAGGGGTGCGTGTGTGTGTGTAGGGGGTGTGCGTGTGTGTGTGCGCGCGCGCGTGTGTGGAGGGTGTGTGTGTGTGCGTGTGTGTGCAGGGGGTGTGGAGGGTGTGTGCGTGTGTGCGCGCGTGTGGAGGGGGTGTGCGTGTGTGTGTGGAGGGTGTGTGTGCGTGTGTGCAGCGCGTGGGGTTATTCGCTATGGTGACGCTCTCGTTTCTGCG